GGGCCCCGCGGCCGCGGGCGCCAGGAGCGCTGCGAGCAGGACGGCGCTGAGGAGGCTGAGGGGGCTCATGGCCGCTCGCTCCGCTCCGTCCCGGCCCGGCGCCGCCCGGACACTGCGGAGGGGGGCGGAGGCGCACCGGCCTTTTTATCCTCCCCGTGCCCTCGCCCCGCCCGCGCCCCTTCCCATTGGCCGGAGCCCGCGCGCGGCCCGCTCCCATTGGCCGCCCCGCCCGCCCGCCGCCGGCCCCGGAGCCCCCGAACGTTGGAGTCCCAGATGGCCGCTTCCCATTGGCTGGGAGGGACGGCCAATCACAGGCGACCACGCGTGCGGTGGGAGACGCCCCCCCCTCCTCGCGCGCGCGGAGTCACGTGGGAGGCGTGGGGGGGGCGCGCTCTTAAAGGGCCAGGCCCGGTTTAATGGGGGTTTGGGGAAAACTGGGGGTTTGGGGGATGCGGGGGGCGGGAATATGGGGAGGGGGCGACCGGTACGCGCGGGGGCGAAGTCTGTGACCTCGCATGGCGCTGCGACGCGCTGGTGATGTCACCGTTCCAGTGATGTCACAGCACGTGTGAACAGAAGGAAGGTGAACCCTGCGTGAACCCTGAAGCTCCGGGCTGGCTCGGGGGGGAGGGGGGACTGTGCTAGACTCTGTTAGCGCCGCATGACGTCATCGTGCAGCTTAATGACGTCACATCGCCCCCGCGACCCCCCGCGAGGCCGCTTTGCCGCACCCAAGATGGCGCCGGCGCCACTCCCAAGATGGCGCCCGTCACACCCTCCCCCTCCGCGCCCCCATTTCCGGGTGTGTCCTGCGCCGCTTCCGGCGGGGCCGGGATCACTTCCGGCCATGGCGCCGAGCGTGGCGGAGCTGCTCCTGCAGCGGCTCGACCGGGCCGGGGCCCCCCCCGAGGGGCTCTGCAGCCTCCAGGCCGCCGCCGAGCTCGGCGTGGACCACCAGACCCTCGTGGGCGCCGTTAAGAGCCTGCAGGCGCTGGGGGAGGTGCGGGCGAGGGGGAGGCGGGGAAGGGGGGGGAGCCCCCGGTGGTGGTCCCGGTTATCCCGGTGCCGATCCCGGTTATCCCGGTGCCGATCCCGGTTATCCCGGCGCAGGTGATCGAGGCCGAGCCCCGCGCGGCCACGCGGTGGGAGCTGAGCCCGGAGGGCGAGGAGGTGCTGCGGGACGGGAGCCCCGAGGTGCGGCTGTTCCGGAGCCTCCCGGAGCAGGGGGTCACCCAGGGGGAGGCCGCGGTGGGTACCGGGGGGGGCACCGGTACCGGGGGGGGTCAGAGGGTCCCGGTCCCGGGGGGGGTCAGAGGGTC